TGATTGCCCCTAACTATCCTCTCCTGTAGGCCTGGTCACCCACAACGGTCCTCCCCTACAGGCTTGGTCATCCCAACTGTCCTCCCCAACTGCCCTCCCCTGCCAGCCCAGTCACCCCTAACTGTCCCCCCCCACCCCCGAACTGGCCTGATGGCCCACAATTGCCCTCCCTTGCTGACTATCTTGTGGTGGTCATCTTGTGTCCACATTGGCGGCCATATTGTGTGTTGGAGTGATGCTCAATTTGCATATTACCTTTTTAAATTATATTATTATATAGGATGGTCTGGGTTCAAATCTTAATTTATTTTTAAAGATTAATTTCATTGTTGGTATTTTGTAAACTTTTATAGTTATTCATTTGTGAATTGGAAAGTTTTGTTATATAAGTGTTTTTAAAAATCTTTCAAGATGTTCATGAAGTGTCATAGTTATTCTCATTTTATATTAAATATTAAAGAAGATTTACTAGTATATATTTTTCTGTTAGTAATCTTATCTCTTGATATATTGAGTTGTCTTCTTAGAATTTATTAGAATAATGCTGCTCTACCCATATGTATCTTAAAGCTGAATAGCATTTTATGATTATAGCTTGCTCTTTGTTTTAAATTGTTAGCAGATAGAAAAGTAAGTAAATAGCATGGTTAGGTCAAATGCATGTTTACATTCATTTTACTCATTGCATTAGGCAGGTATAAGTCATAGTCTTATTTTTTATTGGCCATCCTAATTTTAACTTTGTACATTGCCTTTGTTTTTTGCTCTGTGCAGTGCTCTCTCTAGATGACACACTTATCTATATATATAAAAGCCCAGTTACCATTATGGTGGAACAGCCAGAATGACTGGTTGCTATGATGCGCACTGACCATTAGGGGACAGATGCTCAACCCAGGAGCTACCCCCTGGTGGTGAGTGAGCTCTCAAAGCTGGAGCACTGCTCAACCAGAAGCTGGGCTCATGGCTGGCGAGCAAATTGGTGATGGTGGGAGCCTCTCCCACCTCTGCAGCAGCACTGAGGAATGGCGAGTCACGTGGTAAGGAGTGAGCAGGTGGGTAGTAAGGAGTAAACAGGCAGGCGGTTAGGAGCGAGAGGTCACGGATTGTGAGAGAGCGCAGGCAGGGATGAAGTTTCCACCCCCATTCCCTCCCTGCCCACACACGCACACATGGATTTCATGGATCAGGCCTCTAGTAGAAAGTAAATGTCAAATGTTTCTTTAATGTTTACCAAACTCACTGTAAAAGTTATCTTTTTCCCAAAGGTGACAAGTATATGATAGTATTTATATGTATAAAAAGATGGTAACTGATTATTACCTTTGCCATACAATGGAAAGAGAATAGATCAAATTCTTTTTTTCTCTCTAAATTCTATTTCTACAAACAAATAAGTTTAAAAACCCTTTCTGAATGGTTATGATTCTTAGTCTTGAGATTGTGGACAATCTTCCACTCTTACCTTCTTATTCCACAATGTGGTTGACCTTTTGTTTGGTGGCTTTGACTTATTTAAATTAGAATTTGGTGGTAAAAAACATTTTATTTATTTTTTTAACCTAGTAGTGATGTAATCTATATGGCATTCATCATTTAACCCTTTGTACACCATAAGTATCTATAGACGCAAGTGGCAGACCTTCCCCACACACCAAGCATGTCTATAGCCTCAAACCTTGCATATCAACTCTATAGTCACCCAATTTTAAAATCAGACTTGTCAGTGACATCTCTGCATTTGTAAAGGAAATTATGGTAACTTAAATTTGTAAATATTCTAGCGCATATGGAAGAAATGGGGACGGTTTCCATTTTGGATGTGTGGCAATTAATTGGTTAAATTTCTACACTAATAAAAGAGAAACATGCAAATTAACCATCACTCTGCTATACCCACCAGCCAGTCAGGAGAGAATATGCAAATTAGAAAGAGAAAGATGGCCGCCGTCCAGCTGCTCCAGGCCCTGAGGGGCTGGGTGGGGCAGGACACCTGCTATAAGAGGGAGGGTGGGTGTTAAGGGATCTATAGGAGCGGCACTCTGGCCACAGTAATGACAAATACTGTAGACTCCGGAGTCTGCAGCAAAGATGGCAGACTCTGGCTAGAGTCTGCAGAGAAGACAAAGGTGGTAGACTCTGGCTGGAGTCTTAAGGAAAGATGGCAAACTCCTGCTAGAGCAAAGGCCTGGGACCCAGGCGCCCAAGGAAAACCGGTGCTGGAAGCAAAGGGAAGGAAGGCCTATTGCACGAATCTCTTCATGCAATGGGCCTCTAGTATAGCTATAAAACTTAAGCAGAATAATCTACTAGTATAATAATAAAAGCATAATATTAAACCTGATGTCCTTCTGGCGAATCCGGGGCTGCAGCCCTGGAATCGAAGAAGCTGCCTTGGCTGTGACGGGGAGAGATCCAGGCAGCCGCTGCAGCTATGAAGGCCTACTCTTGCTCGAATTTCCAGCATCAGGCCTCTAGTACTCTGATAAGCACATAATCTAATTGCTGAAAAAATTCTGCATTTAGCATGCAAATATATTGTTTTTGACTTTTGTTCAATATTTGTGTCAGTAAAGACATAGCCTCTATAAATTGTGGCTACAATTTATATACTAGATAATAAATAAGGGATTGTCTTTTATAGATATTTGTTCTAATATGTTCCTTTTCCTTTTCTCTGTTAAATTTCCTAAGGATCTCATTGATTCTCTTACATGTTTGTGATGAAATCTCTCTTAATAAAATCTCATTACTGTTTTATGTTAATTATTATTATTATTTATTTATTTTTTGCCATAGATTTTAATATATTTTATTGATTTTGTACAGAGAGGAAGGGAGAGAGATACAGAGTTAAAAACATCGATGAGAGAGTCATCGATCAACTGCCTCTTGCACACCCCCTACTAGGGATATGCCCGCAACCAAGATACATGCCCTTGACCAGAATCGAACCCGGGACCCTTCAGTCCCCAAGCCGACGCTCTATCCATTGAGCCAAACTGGTTTCGGCTTATGTTAATTATTTTTTAGAGTTGATTTTTCTTTGACTGAAGGCTTAACATGCTCAGACAATCTACCAGGGTTTCTGAGCTCATGAAGTAGAAGAATCTGCTGGCTGATACATATCACCAGTGCAGTTTGTATCAAGGACCTCATTGCAGGGCAATGGGCCATGCTGTGTTCTAGGAGATACACATCCCAGGGAGATGTCCCTGTGCCACTTGCCCTCTCTGCAATGTGGATTTCTGGCTGTTTTGATGGAGAGTTGCAGGGACTAACCCTTGCACCTTTTCTATGGCCCACTGTCTTTTATAGTGTCTGAATGATGACACGATACAAAACATACTAAAAATTTCTTTATTACTGCAGTTCCGGTACTTTGATGACATTTATGTTCTTAGTTCATTTTATAAATAGCTCCCACACTTCTTCTTACTTGGATTTTTGGTTGTCCTTTGTCCCTAAAAAAAAAAAATCACATAACCGATATTTTTAGTGAATGAGAAAAATACATATAATGATTTGTTAGTATAAAGGAGAGATACAAAATACAAAGTAATTTGTACAGTTCTATACTTGATTTATAGTGTTTAGTTATTATAAATGAGCATTAAAATTATCCAACTATTTAAGGCATTTCTTTGTTTTAAAAAATAGATTTAATAGATACATAAATAAGCATTAATTAAGATCTCTGTGTGTGTTCAAAATCCCATGATGGTTTTGGGCACATGAAGATAATTAAAGGTGGGAAACTCTTTCCAGAAGTGCAGTGTTGGGCAGGAGTAATTTAAGTATGACCGTGAAGTATTTTTTATGGTGTATTTTGAAGCCAAGGATAGATTCTAAAGCTACTATGAATTTTAGAGACAGTGGATTGAGGGTTATCTGTAGTCTGGGTACCAGACTACAGATATATTGTATGTTTTAATTTGGGCATTTTCTGTATTGGCTCAAGATTTCATTTGCAGAATTTTTTTTTCCCAAATGTACAAGGGAAACCTATAAGATGATAATTAACTGGTTGTAAATGTGTTTCACTAATCCAGACTGGAAATGTGAGATAACTCTGACTTCACTGTACAAGTGGAGTGTGTACCCTTTAATTCCAAAGTTTGGTTACTCAGACAGGCCCCCTGCTCCTTTCTGAGTCAGCTGTGGGGGTCACTGTTGTGGGGTGGTACTGACAGCTCAGAAACCATCCCTGCCTTCTGGTACAGTGCATGTAGTGCCCTGCTTGAACTTGTGATTTGTTTAGATGGGCCACATTCTTCCATCTTTGATTTGTCAACATGAATTGTTCATCACTGCCCCACACTTAGATAATGAAGGCAAGTGTCCCCTGCATTTCACTGTCATTTTAAGTTCTGTCTCCTTCATATACTGTACTGCTTATTTCTTATTTGTACTTTATTTATATAACATGCCCTTAGTATGTGCTTATCAGTTTGAGTTTGAATTTTTGCTGGTGCATTTAGAATGGCTATTTGAAGATGGTTTTTTTATTATCAAGAATTTTTTTTCACTGTAATACTTCCTTTGCTTTGACTAAAGTAAAACTTCTTTCTCACAAAGATGTTATTTTAATTCAGAAACTGCCTTTTTACACCTTTTAAAAATACATTTTTTCCTAAATCCTAAGTCCAAATGTAAAATACAGCACAGAAGAATATCACATATATTTGTGGCCTTCTGTAGAGGCTGAAGAATAGATATATTCACTCACATGTGGCTGGTGTTCAACCTTGACAGTCATTACTCAGTACATGTCAGTAATACAACTTTAAAACATTTTTTAATGTTTTACTGACTTAAAGTCCACTGACCAGGAAAGAATACTAAATGTGAATAAACACTAAAGCATTTTGGCATGATTCTTGGTAAATTATAAAGGAAATAATTTATCTCCCTCCCCTCCTGCCCTCCTATACGTAGACATGTCACAGTTTGGTTGTGACATTCCTTCATCTCCCTGGGAGGTGGTGCCATGTGTAGACAGATTCTGAAGCTTAAACTTAATGTTACAGTGTGTCAGTCAAGTGTCCAGAACTTTGAATCTCTGTAAACTTTATTATTGAAAGAGCAGTGAGTATTATATGCAATGGGCCTGGGAGAAATAGATGCCAACATTTGTTCTGGGTGAAAAGTGCTCATTCTATGCTTTTGATATTCTTGTTTTGTCAGGGGTGAATCTCAATTACTTTTAGATACCTTTTGCCCTCTTCTAACTAATTTTCATGAACAAAATTCTATTCAAAGGATAGCATTATTGTCCCTGCTAAGAATTTTCTTATCTTCAAAATATATTCTTCTGGAGTGTAGGATCTTTTTAATGCAAGGATGTGGAAGTTTAATGGTGTGACTAAGATTCTTTTCTCACTGAAGGAAGATGAGATGTGGTTGCTTATGAGATGTTCACACCCATTTCCTGGCTCTGTTCTTTGTCCACTGTGTTCAGTGATAGTTGGACAGACAGGGTTGTCTGACCAGTCTGGTGGAAAATGGGCAGGCTTTCCTGGGAGTGCTGGTCTTATTGACATTCTTACCAGAAGCTGTTATCTAATGCTGATTGGGGAACCAACATGCAATATTTAGGTCGGTATAACCAGTGGATCTGCCTGGTGCTGTGCACCTAACATAGGGTCAGTGACTCTGACCCCAAAAACTTTGATAAAATGAGACAATGTGAGATTGTCCTCAAGGTCAGCTCAAATATTATGTTATGGAGGCTTCTCATAGGAGGACATTTTAAAAAAATCAATGTTTTAAAATTATTTACTACAGTTTCACATATTAAAATACTTCCTGAAGTATCTTTTTTCTATTCATGAACTTTAATTTTGAGATTTATCCTCTGTCGTGTGTGACTCTCAACTGCCAGAGCTTTTGTGTGCCTGTCCCATGCTGAATTTCATGACATTTGTGGTCACTTGACACTGAAGAGCTTATAATCCAGTACACTCACCTTTTCAAATACCTGTTCTTATTGCTGTACTTGGCTTTTATTCCAGAGGTCCTAGCTTTGAAAGTGGAGTTAGTTAGCAAGCATTTATTCAGAATGACATGCAGTATCTGGAAGTGCTGGGAATGTAAAGACAAATATGGTGTCTAAGACCATGGGCAGCAGACACAGTAGTGTGTCCATAATGTGTTGAGGTTGATCATATGTTCGATGCTAGTGTGTATGGGAGCATAGTAGAGAGAAATCCACCTTAATCTCCAAGGCAGCTTTTCTGACCATTGTTTCCTAAAAGGGATGGATAAAACCCAGGACTGGTTAGGCTGAATTCTTCACAGAACGAATGGTGTGGCCACTATCCTGAGCATCACCCCTGCACTGCGACCTTGCTTTGCTCTGACACCTCCCCCTCTCTACCGGTGATCACATGGCTGCCTCTGACAAGTCCACAGCTATACAGGATGCATGTTATGCACCAAGATTTACAGTAGACAGGTGTATAGTAGGTGCTGTGGAATACCTGATAGGTCTCACGTGAGCAATTGGAGAGTCTTCACCTGGGGAGATGATACTCAAACTATACCAGGCACACGTGACTTAGATCACTTTGGAAAACAGGTGTGGCCTCATCTGTGGCTTAGATGATGGTGAGGCTCAGAAGTGAAGTATTTTCCCAGGAACCCCCAGATTTCTGATTACAGTGTTCATGTCCTTTACTTTTTTAGGTAGGCAAGGCAGTCAGGTTTAATTTTAAAAAGATCAAGCTTGTGTTGATTTTGACATTGTCTCTAGTTACAGGTGAAGAGAAAAAAAAAATATCCTTAGTATCTAAATCAGGAACATACCGCCTGTGGGTATAAAATATGATTTTTATTCAAGCCGATTTTAAATATGATGGAATCGTTGAAGTTGTAGTACGAAGAAAAATATCCCTGGGGAAACTGTGTGGAATTTCAGATTTTGTGGTTGACATAGCTTTCACTTAGTATCTCCTTCTGAACCTGTGCTAATAATGAACTGTCACTATCATTGAGTGGATTGGTCTTTTTTTCTACATATGACTTATTTTTCTTTACAATATTATATGTATTTATAAATATATATGTACACATTTACACATTGTTGTTATATATTTGTATAAATGATGTATGTAATATATGCACATATATATACACATATATTTGCTATATATAAAGACTATATGTTTTTCCACAAAACTGTCATGTATTTTCAAGTAATACCTAAAAATGTTGTCATTTTTGTTAAGTATAACTAGAAAAGGAATCATTGGGGTTGAATGGATAGAAAGTAAGAAAAGTAATGAGGCTGGAGGAAGAGAATGCTTCTCTTAAACATATAGCCTGGGGAATAAAAAGAGCCTCGGGTTGACATTCACAGCTCGTGTAAATTATATTTAATTATTATGTAATACAACATACCATTCCAAAGCATGCCTTAGGGTGCCTCAATTTTTGAAGTGTTCCTGGGGAAATTGCCACCCTGTGCAGAGGTAGTGCCCCCTAACTGTAGTCTGTGAGTATGGAGCACAGCTCTGCACACATTTGCTGTTCCCTTGGGGTAATTTGGGTATTTTAAAGCTACCAGAAGCATGAGAGAACTAAATTTTATCTCAGGATTTCTGTTAAGCCATTTTTAGGAGTCAGATAGAACCCTTAGAATAGATTACATGCAACAAACCCAGCATGGTACACCTTCTAACCAGAAGGTATGAACAGTGCAGACTCAAGGGTTGCCTCTGTTAGACCATGTCATGATCAGCAGGGATGTGCAGGCACTGCTGTCAGTCTGAGCATACAGTTACAAATAAGAAAGGCCAGTGCATAGTCTTCAAGGAGCCAAAGTTCTAACACTGGGGAAATAGCCAATAAATGGATAAGCAAATGAATGAGAAGGTAATTTCCGCTAATTGAACAGAGTAATGAGTAAGGTAGGGATGGAAGGTGACAGCATTCTGATCAGGTTGTCAAGGACAGCTCTGTCAGGCACTGGCATGGATCAGGGACCTGCAGGGCACAAAGATGCCAGTGCCAGGCCCTGAGGCAAGAACAGCCAGCAGAGTTCCAGAAGCTCTCTCAAGCTGAGGGTGGTGGGAGAAGTGCCCAAGAAGCTGCAGAGGCGGGTCCTGTAGATCTTGGAGGTGCCTTCTAGCTGTGGGTTAGATCTGGAGCTTAGCAGAAAGTCCTTGAAAAGTCACTCTGGCTGATCTGTGGGCAGGGCATTGGCAGGGGCAGGTTAGTACCATAGTTGTAGCTGAAGATGATGATGTGGGTAGGTTAGTGGCAATGGGGACAGGGAAATGGGGAAGCATTTCTGTGTTTGGCAGTCAGCCACACAGGACTTGCTTATCTAGGTGGTGAGGGCATGGGTGGAAGAGGAACCAAGGAATATGATATCCCTGTGTGTGCCATAAGCGAAGGATAGATGGTGGAACCTCCCACTAAAATGGGAGACTTAAGCAAGAACAGGTTTGAGGATGTGGGGCCTAATGTATTCCATTATGAACACTTGATACCAACATGCCTGTTCTACATCTGAGTGGGTATCACAGCAGACAGTTCAGCTGCCTGTGCACATCTCAAGTGTTCATGGATGAGGCTTTTCAATTTATTAGTATCTCTGAACATAATTTAACTTAGAGTTGTAACCTGAGTTTTCTTGAAAAATTTAGCCTGAGTTGATCAAACTTCAGTGTATACTTCTTTGACCTGGCTCAACAGCAATGCATAGATCACTAACTGAGCTGCTACGGTGTAGCTGGAGCTCTGTAAGGCAGCTCAGAATAAGCACAGAATTGTCCCTGATAATTCAGAAACTATTTCTACTTTTATTCAGTTTTTATTCTTTCAGACTTAGTTGCAGGCATGACCTGATTCCTTTATTTCTTAGCTACTATATGTCTGAAAAATGAAATGTTTGGGAAGACATCTCTAGCTCCCTCTTTTTCTTGTATATGCCCTCTTTCTTGAGCACCTATGGATTGAGTTCCTTGAGAACCTCTATAGAAGCAACACTGTCTTGCATATTCTCTGCTTCAGCATTTCATCTAGAAATAACCCCAATTGGATTAGCTATGCTACCTTCCAGAGGCCTCTGTCTTGTTCTGTCCTGAGGGTGTGTGTCATAGAACAGTCAGAATACAAATACTTCTAGTCAAAGCCATTCACATATATTTTATGGTGGCATGCCTCTTTGTCTCTCTTAGGCCAGACTATGGGAACAGGGTGCTAGAAAATTAGGAGATTTATGTAAAAACTCCACATTTTTCAGACATTAGGAATAGTGAAAGTAGATTGCTTAGCTCGCAGGCCTATCAAATAGCTGCCTTTTTACTGTGAGCTCTTCTAGAGTTGACAGTTGACCAGTATGACTTTGGCTTTGACTTGTCCTAGGAATGAATGTGATTTCCTGCCTCCCCCCCCCCCCCTTTTTTTTTTAAAGAGCTGCTTTAGCTCCCAGAATCAGGACATTAACCCTGCTGAGTTGCGGGTGGTGAATTCTATAGACATTTTTTTCTTGTCAGTGCAGAGAAGGGGTGAATTGCCCCTTCTTTTGTCTGTTAGTTAGCCCTGAAGGCCTTCCCCTGAGAGCAATCTCAGCCCTTCCCTGTGTTCAGGCTCTGGGAGACAGCTTGGGATTCATTCCAGCTCAAGTCCCTTTCTTTTCTTTCTTCTTTTTTTTTTTTTAATATATTTTATTGATTTTTTATAGAGAGCAAGGGAGAGGGATAGAGAACTAGAAACGTCAATGAGAGAGAAACATCGACCAGCTGCCTCTTGCACACCCCCTTCCGGGGATGTGCCCGCAACCAATGTACATGTACATGCCCTTGACCGGAATCGAACCTGGGACCTTTCAGTCCGCAGACCGACGCTCTATCCACTGAGCCAAATGGGCTTCAGCATCAAGTCCCTTTCTTGATCTGGAAACAGCTACCAGCACAAACCCTATACGTGCAGAACCCACATTCATAGCTCTGCCTGCACGGCCCTGAAAAGATCATGCATTAAAGGTAACTTGAACTTCCCCATGTTTTGTCATGGCAGAATATAGAACGTCTATTCTGTGACTTTTGTCATTTCACTCTGTTTCTATTAGGAGGGAAGACCATTCAATTCACTAAAAAGTGTGTGAGCTGCTCTGGCTCAAGGACCAGTGTTAACTGCAGTGACCAATGTCCTGTGGGATAAAGTGCTTCCTGGCCTCTGGGTTTATAGCCCAGAATATGTATGATTCCGTGTCCTGCTGGGCCTGGTGTAACCAGCACCCTTATACGGTATGAGCAGTCTTTGGGGAGGACGAGCAGGGAAAGGACAGCTGCTGGAGCATTTGAAAGACTTCCCTGAAGCCTAGTGTTTTATTTGTTCAGGATAAGGACATGAATTTGTGGTGGACGAAACATGCCGAGTACATGGGGCAGTGGTGATTGTGTTTTGAAAAGAAGCAGAAGAATGTGTCCAGGCTGACCTTAGAGAGGTGGTTTCAAGCAGAAAGCAGAATTTGTAAATTTCTTCACTTACCCTGGTGCTCAGTACAGTGCCAGTCACACTTGGGAAATAAAATGATAGCGATCCCACTGTTAGGAAGGTGACATTCTTTGAGACAGGCAGTGTGAGCACAGAAATAGTGATATGTGGGTGGAGCTACAAATTGCATGTCCCAGCAGTTTAGGTGGACATAGATTTCCAGATTTCAGGCGGTGGAGGGCCTAGGCTAAGCCCTTTGTTCCAGAAGAACAGAGCAGGCAATTAGTTCAGGATTAAATGAGTGTTTCTGGAAGCCAGGGGACCCAGTATTGCATTAGAGGTTTTTAAAAGAAGCTTGAAAGGGAAGGAAAAAATAGTTACAAACTAGAGGAAGAAAATGTTTACTATGCATTTACTAGGCAGCTCTGATAACCACGTCCTCCTCCAGCATCTTCATGATCACAGCAGCCCCTCCTCCAGGCTGCCCTCTGTAGGTTCCACCTTGCTCAGGTTTACAGAGCAGAGCCATGGTGTGCTAGCTCAGCATCACCCCTGGGCTTTCCTGTCTGTTGGTGTCATGGATGGACTCTGCTGCTATGTGCTGAGTGCAACGTGTCACTTCTTCCTCTGCAGGCAGCTCTGGGCACGTCCCTGGGTCTTGGGGAGCTCTGCTCGCCCTCCACATGAACTACTGCTTCCTGTCTGTGTCCTGGCCCGCCTCTGGCTGACTGTCTGAAACTTCTTGATGTCCAGTGAAACTGACTCAGACAGGAGACTTTGTGCCTCAATGTCCAGCCATAATCAATTGTTTTACCAACCTTTCCCAGTTTGGTAAATAAACAGCCTCAATTACAGTAAAAAAGAACTATCATTTCTTCAGAGTACTAAGGCTGCCTTCTTGTATCTGTGAGGTGTATCTTGTTATCATCACTCACTTCTTGGAGGTGAGTGTGGCTAGAAGAGAGGAAGTAACATCCTTAGAGCCAGGTGGCTCATAGGTGGTCACTTTGTACCAATCATTCTGACCCATGCCACTCTCCTCTTTCTAGTAGCAAAACAAAGTAATCTTATACACCTTCTGTTCTAACACACCACAACTATTACCTTTCTCTTATCTCCTCCCCCTCCTCTCATGACCCTTCACACCATCCTAATATATATTGTACAAAGCCAGGGGCTGTCACAACCAATACAACTCGACAGACCACTGAACATAGGCTGCATGGGGCGACCAGGCTGGCAAGGGGGTTGGTGAGGGATGACCAAATGACTGAACAGCAGGCTGCATGGGGCGACCAGGTTGGCAGGAGGGGGGCATTTGAGGTGACCAGGCCAGCAGGGGGGCCAATAAGGGGCAGCCAGGCCAGCAGAGGAGTTGTTGGGGGCAACCAGGCTGGCAGGCAGAGGTGTTTAGAGGTGATCTGGCTGGCGGTGGGGAGGGAGGGCAGGTGAAGAGTTAGGAGCCATTGGTCCCAGATTGTGAGAGGGATGTCCAACTGCCAGTTTAGTGACCGTTCCTAATGCATCATTATTTTCCATGGAAGATTTTTCCTGCTCTCGGGTCACTTTTCTCTGAAGATGGGGATGGAACTATTGTTTTACTCCGATAAATTCGGCCACATCTGATGTTTATCTGAAAACTGGCCACACATTCTAAATTACGTAGCAGTTGCCTTCCTGTGCCCACTCACAGTTGGAGCTTGTCTCACAGCCTCCCTGTACCTCTGAAGTGGAGAGGTGCGGCTCCACAGGCTTTTCAGAAGTGGACTCAGCATCCCCTCTGGAGGAGGAGGAGGTTTTTCTGAGAATAGCAGTCAAACAATAGACAGTGAAAGGCACCTTCTTTTCACTCGCCCTTTACATGTTATCAGAGACAGAGCTCACAGAAATGACTGTGAGTGTGTAGTTACACATGGAGGTCT